ACAAACATTTTACGAGTGTTGATGCATTTATTGCTGCATTGCAATGCTATAAACCGCCTTATTCCATATAATACCCACCTTTTGATAGTGATTGCCTTTTCTGCCCTTCACACGAATGGGAATTAAATAGTCTATACAGATTATCTTGTCAGTCATTGTCTGTCGAGTACATTCTTATTGACTTGAACTATCCTGAAGGAAATTATTTTAGGTAGTTTAATCAGGTATTATCATTTGATAATTTCTTGACTTTTTTGATTTCTCTTTTTTAAAGTAAAAATAAACCATGTGATTTACTTTTTTCATCGAAATTAATTATTTAGTTTTCAAAATTATTTATTGTTTATATGGTATATATAAATTTACTATGACAAAATTATCGATTTTCAAAGTGTACGTTGATGTCCTTCATCATCTCTTCCTCTCTCTCTTTGATTGTCGATAAGATTATGAATAGTACATTATGCGACACAATGATCATCACTTTCAAACTAATTGTGTTTTTCTTTTCCCAGAATTCTTGTAAGCAACAATGCACTTTTATGATGAGAAAATGAATTTTTAAAATTTTGTGGCCAAAGTAATCCAGTTAGCTAGACGCTAATACAGTATATTGTGTATGTTTTGATTTTTCGTTTAGTAAATTTTAAAGTGAAATTAAAGAATAGTTAGCAGTTATATAATGGATAAAAATAACAGTTAGTGATTAGTTTCGACCCCACGCAGTTGTATTGGAGTTGAAATAATTGTATTAGCAATGGCAGTAAAAAAGACTCAACATTGAAAACGTGATCCAACTCAAGATACTGACGAAAATAAGGACTGAATTCACCTGCTCCATTATGGCCAATTCAGACCTTGATCGCTTGACGTCTCCCATCACTGATTCGAGATATTGTATACTAACGTGTTATATAACTTTTAATAGCTTGAAAGTCAGAGTAAAAATATTGAGAAAAATGTTGCACAATTATTCTGTTAGAACACTGATCACTTAAAAATTATATTGCAAAACAAAACAAGGGAGAATGATCAATATTTAATTGTGACTATTCAACGTAATACAAAAGAATAAAAGTGATGAGAAAGTCTAACAACAACAATAATAATAACTCAATAGCTTCGGATCTCACAGAGAATGCTCAGTCGTAAAAACCTTTCAGCTAATTTCCAATGGTTCAGTTTCAACCTTAGTCAATTTATGGCGTAGCGTGATGATATTCCAATGTCCTCAGTATTCCGTGGTTCTTAATGGTAACACAGCTGAGATCAACCTGTGGCGAATACTGCTTACAAACGTGTATACTAAAAATAATTGATACCATAGTTTACAGTGTAAAGAGTAAACACTGAGCCATAAAACGATTTGTAATATTAATTACATGGAAAAAATACCTAAGTAGATTGTTAAGAACATCTGTTCTTTAATTATTCAGAATTCAGTAGTGCTTACCTGTTTATCTATTTATTCCAGGATAACTCAGCTTAATTTTTTGTTACGTAAGGTATTTGTACTCAAATGTTTCTTTTCATATTATTTTTATGTATTCGTTTTAAAGTTATTTGAATAATATGAATAGATAACTGCTGTATGTGCGGAGCAACGTCATGAAGAATACGGTAATAAATATTTATTAGTCATAGCTTTCGACTACAATAAGTATAGGTTTATGTAGAGATGGGTAGTGCTGTGATAGTTTCGTTTCAGTTTCACATAGAACTGAGTATTATTGTTTATGGAGCTAAAAGCCTTCGAAATAAATAATAATAATGATGATAATAAATCAAACTCATCAAGTGTTATATCTCCCACCATATAATGTACGGTTGTTGTGATCTGTATTTTGTTGAGCCTCTGATACATTTATCGATTTCAGTTAAAGAAATTCTGAAAACTCCCGAGGTAAGATAGTAACTCATCAATCACACTTCGGATTATGCTAAATCATAAATCTTAGCTATCGAATTATCTAATTTGACTATTGTACTGACAACCTTTTTGTAGTCAAATGTAATTGTCTCTGTTATCTTTGTTCATAAATCTTTGTATTATTATTATTATTATTATTATTATTATTATTATTATTATTATTATTATTATTATTATTATTGGTTAAACATCATTATTAATCTCCCCAATACATAATTCATTTACTTCTCATTCATCCCAACCTATTATGTCTTACTAATAAGTATTTACACAACATAGTCATCCACTAAATATTTGATGGAATTATAATGTGACTATTAATGATCTTACCCTGATACATATTTATTCTGATCATGGGTCTTAAGTTTTCACTTAACATATGAGCTGATTTAAGTTAATATTCCATGTAAGTTATATCAACATTAACTATTTTTATTCTATTTTGTTTAACAATCCTAAATTCATATGCTATAACTTTAAATGATGCACTTTGCCATTAACCTGGGGATTTTTTACGAATTAACAATTTGAATATATAGTTGTAGAACCTGAAGAGAATATTCTTGGTTCATATATTAGTCTTTTAAAATCATAAATTGCCTAGTAGTTGACTTTTGGATCCATACTCATTACTAGTCCCAGGATAACACTAATTTGGTTTGTAGCAAAAGTTGTATACACTGGAACAATATTTTCTATCCAGTTTACCTTAGTTTTCATCAATTCTCTCTTCGTATCAATTCAGTTTATAGTGAAAAATACTCAGATCTCTACTCTATAAACGTCTAATTATAAATAAAACTCAATTTACATAATAACTTAATATGCGTTATTCATTTGTGTTCGGTTGTTGAAATGATCAATTAATTCAATATATATTCTGGTCTATTGATAACTGTACCATTAATCTTTTATCAGTTTCTATTCATTGATGTTCATTAATGTGAAACAAAATAGTGTTCTTTTTTAAATGCCCTGGTATGGCCGAGAGTATGGAGAGTCCGCTCTCGCTCGCCAAATGCTCTCATATGGTCACGCGTATACAGCCTCTGACAGGGAAGTCCTGCTCATTGCCTTCTCGTGGCCAGGTGTTGTTTACGAATTTGAGAGGACGAAAAGCGAATGTTCGGTGCGTTAACCGGGTTGGTGGACCCTTCGTGTCCACCTAGGGGAGTTGGAAAATCCTGATTCCAAACCAATGGTGCACATGGGCTCCAGTATCCTGAGGGAACAAATGCCGTGTGATTCAATCGTTGGTCATCGGCTACCGTGAGACTGCATCTCCTCACGATGCTCCATTGCCTTATGGATCAGACCTTTAGGTCAAAGGCTACGGGTGTGGCCCATTAAGAAAACCACCTGTTTCAGTCTGGCCACCTGGTCAGTATCACAGCCTTCACACAAATCAAATGAGATTTGTGCGGCGCATGTATATATCTGGTGCCCCTTTGTACCAATATTTATGTGTTTCAATAAATCAATAATCCGTAACTAATTGAACATTCAGTAAATATTATAACTTTTCCATATCTGACAACTTAATGGTGTTTAAAACAATTAGTTCCTTTAATAAATAAATAAATAATGCAATAAGAAGACGAAGATTATCGGGATTATGTGATATCTATTAGCGCAATACATTTCGAACAATCTGATTACACATATACTTGTTAAGAACATGGTAGGTGAAAAAGTAAAGGTCAATTAGACAATTTAAAAAACAAAAGGAAACAAAGATAATAATAAAGTACACAAATTTATGGACTTCACATTTTTTTGATCTTGATAGCTTGTTAAATATAGAATATATCAATCAACAATCAATTTGTAAACTTCTGTAGCGTTGTGTAATATGAATCGCTTTGTGTTGTTTAAATTGTCTATTTTTTGTGGGTTTAAATATTTCGACTTAGATAGAATCATATACAAGTACTAGTTGAATCTTAATTCTCTCTTTTTAAATTGTATATCCTTGATTATTTATTTATTTGCTGATCATATATGAGAGATATAATTAAAAAGACGTTTAATGAAATTTTTTTAACACAGATTTTCGGGGAATATTTACTTTTCATTAATATTAGAATTTTCTCTGTTGCTATTATGAACTAGACTTGGGCGTTTAGTAAGATCACTAAATTGTTAAATCTTCTTTGTGTCAATTATACTAATAACTTTTTCCTAGCTAATGCACTTGTGCTGATGATGATTGACCTATGATAATCTTTTGCTGTTCCCGATCTATCTAATCGGGACACGAGGGTAGCAAGCCGATTTACTTAATTTTATTATAACTTTAAAATTCATATGATAATATATGTCAATTATAAAACGACAATGCACTATAAATAGAAAACCATAATCTATAAATAATTAGATCATCTGTGGTACAAAACTGAAGAACATGTAATTCACTAACTAACCGTAATTTATGAATCTTAAAAGATTTGCCAACAGGTAATGGGTTAAATGCAGGCATGCAATTAGGTTAATGTGGAAATACTGTAAGTCAAGTATTTACTCAACGACCAATAAAAGTATGTATAAAATAATTCACTGTTAAACAATCTTCAAAGTTCCCCCTTTTTAGCCCATGCTTAACAATTGCTTGCTTTTTCCAACAAAATATAAAAGCTTGATTCTTCTCTTTCCACAGTTTAAAAAAATAAATTCCATCAATCGAATGTCATATAGATTAGGAAATAGGGGACATGTTAACTGATTCAACGTCAATATAAAAACTTGACGCATTATTTATACTTAGGGTTTCTCTGTCATGTAAATAAAATTCTAGTATCTCTTAGAACTTTCATTTGTTCACTAAACATAAGCGAGTACTTTTCTACGCTCAGTACTCATTAGATTGAAGCATACTTCTGAGTTAAAAGTTCCTGAGAATTTCAACCTTTAGTGATTCATGGTCATTCCTGTGTAATTCATCCTGAACGCATATCTTAAAGCCTTATAATAAATTAGTTCATTCTACTTTTGTTGACAATTTTTTTGAGGGGAGGAGGTCGTAAATCTGTTAACTACTTTTTCTTTTGTTTTTATAAAATCTTTTATCCAGCGACATTAAACCGGATAATTTTCTCATGGGTTTGGGTAAACGTGGCAACCTCGTCTATTTAATTGATTTTGGATTGGCAAAAAAATATCGTGACAGTCGAACACGTCAACATATACCATATCGAGAGAATAAAAATCTTACTGGGACGGCTCGATATGCTAGTATCAATACACATTTGGGGATAGGTAAGAGAAAAACTATCGTATGAATTTTTCATTTTTATCTCCAATTTTCAAACAACCAGTGTAGCATTTCTTCATGTTCTTTTTTTCAAATAGTTTCAACACAATACTTTATGGTTACCTCTTGTGATCAGCTTTGAATTATGCACATACATACACAAACCTAAACGTGAATAAATCGAGCTAGGTTCAAAGTGTAAACCTAGGAACAACTGAACAACTCATTCTCCAACCACTTAGCACTCCTGCTCAATTAAGTCTAGACTGGTGACTTTACATTTATTTTTATCCTTATGCTTGATCGTCATAAACACACTGAACATTATAAATTTATTACGATTTTTAAAGGAGCGGCCAATAAAAAGACGTTGGCTGCATAAAATGTATAAATGATGTAATTTTATTGGTAAATAAACAGAAATTATATATATATATATATATATATATATATATATATATATAACCACTAAAAACCAGTCAGCACTGTAATTCATTACCAGTACTTCAATCAATTCGCTATATTGATTAACTATATTTTATTGCTTTTGATGGGTAAATGCACACTACTCAAGAGTGGTACACCCGGATGAAGAAGCTCTCCAATGCTTCTTAATCTCTAGTGGTTGTCTAACTAACGCCAATTGGAGTTGCTAGCTATACATAATTCAACAATTTCCACAAAACCCGTATATTAATTATATAGATTTCAATTCTTCCCGACATCTGGTCAATCGATTAAATTTTGCTTATTTTACGATCTAGATATGATGGTGATGACAGATGTATCAATATCTTTTAGTTTTTATAAATATTTATGTATAGTTCTATTTGAAAATAATTTTATGCAGGTATTATAGAGTTGTCTACTGATATCTTCTATGCCAATATCCACTTGTCTATGTATTTATATACATTCCGTTGAAAATAAACCAGCAAATTAGTGGTAAAAGAAAGATTCTGTCACTGAATTTATTATTATTATTTCATAAGACAGATAGATAACTGTTGTAACTTTTTAAATGTCATGACAATTAATAATCTCCTTTCTTTATCGTACTACATGTGTCGGGTTGATAAGATATTTTCAGACTTCGAATAATTCTAATTTAGGTTATAAGGAGCATGAATGGTGCCTGGTTCTCCTGTAAAATAATTTAAAATTATTATTATTACGAATTAAGTAGTAATTGAATAGTATCTGTATATTCATATACTTTGTAATATAACTTATGCTAACCTATAAATTTTCTTATTATTCATTTATACACATGAATATTGATACAAGAGGCACCAGATATATATATGCGCCGCACAAATCTCATTTGATTTGTGTGAAGGCTGTGGTACTGCTCAGGTGCCCAGACTGAAACAGGTGGTTTTCTTAGGGGACCACACCCGTAGCCTTTGACCTAAAGGTCTGATCCATAAGGCAGTGAAGCATCGTGAGGAGATGCAGTCTCACAGTAGCCGATGACCAACGATTGGTTCATACGCCATTTGTTCCCTCAGGATACTGGAGCTCATGTGCACTATTGGTTTGGAATCAGGGTTTTCCTACTCCCCTAGCTGGATGCGCCGTGTCTTCTAACCCGTTTAAAGCGCCGGACGTTCGCTTTTGTTCCTCACAATTTCTTACACAACACCCTGGCCACGAAAAATTGTATATAAAATAAAACTAAACTATTAGAAACATTCATATAAATAACAATGGAATTAATTTATAGAGTAAAATTCACTTCATAATACTTCTGTATTATTATTATTATGAATAGAATCAATTTATTTATTAATGACTTATGTTGTAAACAATTAACATTTAGTTGTATTGTATGTATTAACCATTACAATTTTATTGTTATTATTTATTTATACATCACCTTAAAGATAGAAAGAACGAAAAACGATTTTTTACAGGTTTCGTTTTGATAATAAATTTGACTTGAATTAGGTTCTTGACTTAAAAAGTTTTTTATTAGTGTAATTATTTTAAATCTCATCTTTTTTTTTCTTCCTTATCTGATTGTCTGAACTTATTCAAGTATATAGAATAGAAACTCTGATATATTTATCATAGTTGCCTTACCTAATGTATTTTCATATTCACTGATTTATTTTATTATTAGTTTTGTCTGTTAATGAAAAACAAAAATTAAATGTTTTATGAAACCTAGTTCAATGAACTTTGAATGATATCAATTTTACATTCATGTTGGAGTTTGATAATAGGAAACATGAACTTAACTGTAGCATTAAGAGTAGAAGATACTCGTAAGTTACTAGTATTTGATCACAGATGTTTTAGAAATATTACTCTCATCTTCTGGGATCACCGGGTAAGTAATAGTGAGGTTAGACACAGGATATTCGGGAATGATTGTAAATCAGAGGTGATGAGGTCATGAATCTTCATCGACTTAGATGGTTGGGCCACGTGTTACGTATGCCTGGACACCGATTACCACGACGTGCTATACTGACTAGTATTGGGGATGGTTGGAAGAGTTAGGGGTGGCCAAACCAAAACGTGGCATCAGAGCTTGAAGTTACTAACTTCCAGTGTGAGCCATGTTGGTAGATGTAGACTGATTGGTCGGGGTCCGTGTGACTATCGTAACCAATGGTTGGAGACTGTGGGTGACATGGCTCAGAATCGACCACAATGGCGTAGGTGTATACACTCTTTATCCTCCCTTAAACCTTGAGAATAAAATAGCTTCATATCTGTCTTCCGATACTATATCCTTATTACCACCACTAAATTAACTACTTCTATGAATTTGGTGTTCATCTTATTGTGCTAACGTGGTATGGCAAATTGGACCCGATGCATAAATGTGCCTGGTCCTACGTTGTAGCTGACTGACTGACTTAACTGTAGGGCATTGTTAAGTCCTGAGGAATGTTATACTAACATTTTTTCATTGTATTCTGAGCCATTCTTAACATTGTGATCACTGTTATTGGCTTTTCGGTTTGGAATAATAATGTTTTTATGACATTTTCCTGCTTGGTTTAACATATTTGCTTTCTTATAGTAAGAAGAAGTTATAAAGAATACAGCCGTTCGTTTGTTAGAGTTCAACTGATGAATTTTAATAAAAAATTATCCCTGATTGTTGGTGAATTAAATCTACACTTAGAGACTACATTATGTACTTCGCTATTTCTTAACTGTTTTGTATTCTTACTGACTTATTTGGTTAGCCAAAATCCTTTCAAAAAGTATACTTTCTACCTTATTATTTAAGTTCACAGAACTTACCTTTTAAACCTATTTACACATATTGGATGAGTTCAAACAATTCTCCGTGTAACGCAGATACACTAAAGTGAATACTCACAGTTGAACTTCATTAGTATCTTGAGAATACTATGAACACTTATGACTGGTTGTCAGGTATTTAATTTGAGTTTCGAAGACTCATTTAATGGCGTTCGTAGTTTAAGTCACTGTAAAGAAGAGTTTTATAAACGATATGTTTCATTAAGCTAATAATTACTATAACTTAACTGTTGCTTATTCTTGTTAAATTGTCTGTCTGTATCAATATTATGTCTATTATTTACTCTATAACTCCAGAACAAGCTCGTCGAGATGATATGGAATCACTTGGTTATGTGTTAATGTATTTCTTACGTGGTAGTCTTCCATGGCAAGGTTTAAAGGCTGGGACCAAACGTCAAAAATATGAACGTATTAGCGAAAAGAAAATGCAAACACCCGTGGAGGTTTTATGTGAAGGTTATCCAGGTATATTATTTAGAAGTTGCTTTTTTTTAATTCAGCTGTCTGAATAAGTTCATATTTTAATTGTTAAAAAGATTAGTTTAACAAATAAATGACATTGGCTTTTTAATGACGTGGTTTTATTGCGAATGAAATTATCTCCATTGCTGTTAGAAGTATAAGGGAAATTTTTAATTGGTGGTTGCTCACACTATGGAAGGATATTCCTTTTTCGGGGAGTGGTCTTGGTGACCATGAGCTCAATGTTCAAAGACAGCTGTAAGAAGCTGGTCACACATGACCTTTTTTTAAGTAGTTCCCTTTGAGTTAACTCCGTGATTTTACGAGATTACCGCAGGCGACGAAATTCTATGTAGCAAGGTGAGTTGTGATATTTTTAAGATCGACCTTTTCTAACCCCTTCTATTGTGGGAAGACAACATTCCTACAGTCATTGATTCTGTGAAGGAAATCTCTCTATACAGTTAGCATTATCTCTTTGTCATCGACTTTATTTTACCATTTCCAGTTTGACTATTCTCCAGCCAATCTATCTGGCATAGTAGGACCTAAAGGTACAGGTTTTGCAGCTAATATAGCTTTATTGAGTTATTATAATAAACAAAGCTGACTACAACGTCTAGGTAGCAGTTACATTTGAGTCTCCCTAATAGCTAATGTACAATAAGTTTTAGTCGATCTAATGATCGTCAGTGGGGTACTTATCAAAATAAGAACACAAGATTTTATCATATTTCGAATAATGAATAGGAGTGGAGTCGTAGTTACACACTTCTCAGTATTTGCGGCTTGTTTGTTGTACGTTAATATCCTCATTTCAACTGGGACTCATTGCCATCCTTTATTAAAATGCTAGTACATTCTTTTTACTAAGCTACCAAATTTCAATAATTATCAGTCTTCTTAACAGTCGTAATATTTGTTATAATTTGTAAGGATTCATATATGAAGTGCAAGCAACGTCCAAATGTAGGGCATATTTTGGCACGCGTCTGCCAACAGTCCTTAATATCAACATCTAGGATACACTTATCTATTTCCTGTTAAATAATGAGCAACTTTTTATCCGTTCGTTTTGTTATGAGTTTAACATTCCATAGCATGTATATGATCATGAATAATGCCTCTTAGGTTTTTGGTGCAAGTACGCGTTACACGCATGGTTAAGATTCACAGATCAAAACAACATATGTCCTTTGAACTTACTCATATACATGGATGCAGTCGATTGCCCAGTATCAGTTTAAAACAGTTAATCCGGCTTTTGTGACGTAGTAGGTGGTGAGTTCGATGTTCATCGACCATTCATGAGGCAAACTTCACGACTTCCGTAGTATCACTAGAAGGTGTGGGTTGGATTTAGCTTCGGAAAAAATGTGCTGATAAAATTATCCTGCCAGTCGCAGTTAGCTTTTTTTCATTTACTTACTATAAATGTTGTGTTTGACTACTCTAGAAGTTTATACATCCCGTTATATGCAAACGTATATTATACTACTTCCATTTATTGAACTGCTTCCTCATATGATTGAATAAACTCTTTTATTTGTTAAACTGTTTATTATATTCAATTTAACCTTCTTGTTGGTCCTTTTTATATTTTCTACAGTTGAAATGGCTGTCTACCTTAATTACTGTCGTGGGATGCGTTTTGATAACGAACCGAATTATTCTTATTTAAGAAATTTATTTCGTGGTTTATTTCAACGAGAAGGATTCACTTATGATTTTATTTTTGATTGGAATCTATTAAAATTTTCTGGAAACGATCAAAATTCCATGAATAATACTACTGGTGCTGTTAATAATAATAATAACAATAATAATAATGGTAATGATCATTTAATTACAAATCAACAATCATCCCAACAACAACTTGTGCAGTCTTCTCGTCGTGGTCATCATCATGATGAAAAAGTTAAATGTATGCCTTATTCTTTTTTTCTGTTAGTTATGTATGTACTACTGAAATATAGTTGTTTTATAGGGATAGAATTGATCGAATGTAGAAATCTAAAAAATAGTATTTTTTCTAAGCACTGTTAATCGCAGCTGGTGTTCGTCATAGTAAACAATTTTCCAGTTTTCCTTTATTATCATTCAGAGTTTAATCTGCTTTCTGAAAACTTACTAGTATGGACATTAGTCACACAGATAGTATAACCTTATTTGATGAAATCGCCTGAATAATGGTTTTTTTGAACTCCTAATAATTTAGAGGCGTTTTAAGAATGCTTCTATCCTAAAGTGCTGGGAAAAGTTGATAATTCATTTGTGAATATTCATCTTTTAAGTAGATTATAGCAAGTATTTCGTAATGCCAAGCCACTACCTACCCAAATGTGCAATGTTAACTGGTATAGGTATATACCGGGAGAAAGCTGGGATCGGTTCGAACCTAAAATGTGACATCATTCCATTAGGGCATTGATTCTCGGCCGTTGCTGCTACCTTGACGTGGTGGTCGGGCTTGCCTATCGTGATGATCCAATCGAGCTATGCTGGCTGGAACAATCGTTCCTCAAGGTCCTACCATGCCAGACAGGTCGGTTGAAGAGCGGTGAGACTAAAAGCAGCAATCCCAAGGTCCGAAAGCGAAGTCGTACTGCTGACTGTACAGAGGTGTGAAAGCAGTAAGGTGTTTCCTTCAGACAACCAGCATGACAGCGATGCTGCCTTCCCACAAGGAGGGGTGGGGTTAGAAAAGGTCGACCCTAAAAATGCACACCTCGCCTTATCCCACGGATTTCCGTCTCCGGCGGTAAGGACTTTTGAAGAACGGAGCTAACACATCAAAAATCCCCCACAAAAAGGCCGTGCGTGACCGGCCTCAAGCAGATGTCCCTTGGGCACTGCGGTCACGCTCCCAGGTCGTTAAGACCAACACTAATCCAACTTCTTTTTCAGGTCCCTCAAGAAATACCCTTCCACGGTGTGGGCAGCCGGGAAGTGATACTAGCCCTCATACCCTTAACTGCACACAAGACCAAGTTGGTCGCTTTCAAATCCTTCCTACACCTAATAACTCTGTTATCTCCACGACTAACCCTTCCCACGTCCTTTTATCACCTCGCACCGCTAGGGCAAACGATTCGAGGGCATTGATTGTTTTTTAAATCCATGCTTGTAGATACAAACTACTTGGTTGAGTTCGACTCGGCAACATAGATCTGTGGTTTTAAACTTTGGGTGATGTTGCTGATAATTAGTTTTTAATAGCGCGATTCCATTCACTTTTTGTCTTCCTTGTTTTATGGTTTGAATATAGTGTCTTATACGTATATTGTTTAGTTTGCGATAAAGATATTGATCGTTTCAAATAGTTCATCGTGTGTTGTAAAATCTCATCAGTTTCATTGTTAGTGTTTTTTTGTGATTGTAACTACATGAAGAGGTCTTTTTTCACTTAACGTTTTCTAAAAAAATCACCTTACAGCTCGTAACAAAGGAACGTCTGGTAATCCGGGTTATACTGCTCAACAGGCAAATACACCATTAGCTCATAATTCATCAACTGCAGCAGTGATAAATTCTCGTTCAGGTTTTACACAACAAGGTTTGGGCGCAGTGACTGCCTATCCACGTGGTATGCCACCATCATGTCTACCAGCTGCACAAAATATGGTCGCTCAGTCATTACAGGTAATGAGTCTTCAGCCACAACCTAATCAAATGTCATCTAATACTGTCGCTCATCATCATGCACAACACATCCAATCGCATCCAATCTCAAATTCATTAACTGGATATTATAATCAAACGGTACAACAACAGCAGAATATTTCACAGTCTCCTCAATTAGGTACATCACAATTTGCTAGCCCCACCTGTCCTTCTAACATGTTTCTTATAAATAATAATAGTAGTGCAAACAATCCAATATCAATGACTGGTGGCCTACAACAACAACAACCTAATACCAATTTATACCCCTCTGTTGACTCAAATTGTACTATTCAACACCCATCCCAACAACAGTCACAAAATGCTTGTTGTCTTCCAGTACAATCACAACCTCATTCCAATACGAATAATAATAATAATCAACAAGTTGTTACATCGCGTCAAATTGTCCAAGGTACTTCACATCATCCACAACAAAATTCATATTTATTAACTCAACAAAATTCAATCGGCCAAGTAATTGGTGGTGGTGGGAATAGTAGCGGTACAACAAATCATCAAATTCATCATCATCAACAACAGTTAAATGCATCTACAACATTTGGTAATCATCCGCATAATTTATATCATTTACGTCTTCATCCGGAAACATTTTATGTGCCTGCAACAGCTAGTGGGCAGACAAGTAATATTAATAATAATGAGAATTTCACCTCAACACCTATGATTTTGCCATCTGGACAACAAGTCGGTGGTGCTGGCAGTAATGCATTTCGAAAATAATAATAATAATAAATTAACTATTGTCTGCCTACATGTTTCTTAGTATTTAGTTCTGGTGAAATGTGAATATATAAATGCCTGTAGTTTTATTTAAATTGAGTATCTTATAGCCCAATGTGTTTCCAACCTTCCCTGTCTTATTCTCTGCTTGGCTATCTATCTCTCTCTTTCGTTCACTTGCTCGCTCTTGATATATTTCACTGGATATCCACTAGCCTTGTACTGTAGTTATGCTTAATATGCAATCTAAAACAGCTCGAAAAATTATTCAGTATAATGCTGTACTATTTTTTCATAGTTTATCTGGCTAATAAAAACTATTTCGTCTTTATTTTTGTGTAAATATATACATATATTCCATGAATATACAAGTACACAGAATAACATGTGTAGAAAAAAAAAATTCGAAAAGCTTGACTTTTTTCAAAAATGTTTGTGTAAAAATAAGTTTTATTCTGTATCAGTTTCATTTACGTTAAGAAAAAGAATCACAGTGGAGAAAGAGATGCAAACAAGCATATTTACACGGTGTTAGCACTGATAACTGAAGGTGATGATGATGTGTTTTTTTTAAACTCGTATTTCACATTGTACGTGTTTTCCTATGTACTCACAATTCATTACTCCACTTAATAAATGTACACATATGGTTTATGCAAAGGTGTTTGTATGTTTTGATTAGTTAATGCATTTCTTAATTTTATGTCCATCTTCAAATGTCAATTTGAATTTCATTCATTTACTCTTTGTTAAGTTAAATGTTTGTACGTTTTCTGTGGTTTCTCAGTTATGTAAGTGTAACTTTAGTCATTAGTAGTATTTATTTAATTAAAAGCAGCCACATCAATACTTTTGATAGTAAACTTTGTAACCATTAACGAAATCTAATTCATATTTTCTAAGAAAAAGAAGAACAACAACGGAAAATGAGGATGCTGTATTGTTTTATCTCAAGTGCTATACGTGTGTGTGTGTATATGTAATTGTTCTAAATTACCACCATTAGTCTTTTGTTATTATTATTCAATGTATTATTTATTATTCACTTACTTTTATACCCCATTTTTTGTTAAAATCCAACTTCATTTCGTGTGACATTCTATTCCTTATGGTTGTATTTATTATTTTAAAAATGTCTCCCCTTTGTGTTGAGAGCACTTTTCAAATTACAAAAGTATTGGAAATTCTTTGCTTACCGTCTTTGCATAGTCTTCTTTAGTTAATGACAGTCAGTCGGTAAGATGATTGAACGATTAAACTTGTATGTTTACCCAACTAAAGGGGATATGTATTCCCCCCCCCCCAAAAAACGGGTGTTTTTTTTATTTGTACATATTATATAAATGGTAGTTATGTTTACAAAAAATATCATTACAACTAGTAATAAAAATACTAGTCAATTATATGCTGCAAATTTCGTTTGGTTTTCATTTATTCTTAATACATCCATCTTTAGCATTCGTCTCATGGTGCCAGTACTGCTTGTCGTTAAATCATTGACTTAAACTTCCTGTGTTATGTCTTAATATTCAAAATTACATAATATCGTCACCCATTGTGGGTTAAATTCAGATATTTTAGTTTCCAAGTGTACTTGTTTTTAGTTAGTGGTAAACTGTTTCATTATAGGTACACTGTGAATTGAATTTGGAGCGGAAAGTTAATTTTACATTTTAATGTGTTGATATATTCTTTTGAATAAGTAATTTTACCTATTTAGAAACTTTTATTGGAAACAGATGTTTTCCACAAATATATAATGAGCATTAAGTGCCCAACTTCGAGATCAACAAGCTGGATTTCGTAAGGATAGATCGTGCACAGATCAAATCGCAACTCTGCGGATCATTGTGGAACAATCAATCGAATAGAACTCATCACTCTACATCAACTTCATCGACTACGAGAAGGCATTTGATAGTGTGGACAGGACGACACTATGGAAGCTTCTTCAACACCACGGCGTGCCTGAGAAGATAGTAAATATCATACGGAACTCCTATGATGGACTAAACTGCCAAATCGTCCACGGAGGACAACTCACCGACTCGTTTGAAGTAAAGACCGGTGTTAGGCAAGGTTGCTTACTCTCACCCTTTCTCTTTCTCCTGGTCATCGACTGGATCATGAAGACGTCAACATCTGGAGGAAATCACGGGATACAGTGGACAGGCAGGATGCAGCTTGACGATTTAGACTTCGCGGATGATCTGGCTCTTCTATCACAAACGCAACAACAAATGCAGGAGAAAACGACCAGTGTAGCAACAGCCTCAGCAGCAGTAGGTCTCAATATAAACAAAGAGAAAAGCAAGAACAGCATACCTACAACTGAAAAGCATCTGGAGCTCAAAACAATTGTCAACCAACACCAAGGTTAGAATTTTCAATACAAATGTGAAGACAGTTCTACTGTATGGGGCGGAGACGTGGAGAACTACGAAAGCCATTATCCAGAAGATACAAGTGTTCATCAACAGCTGTCTACGCAAAATACTTCGGATCCGATGGCCAGACACTATCAGCAATAAGTTACTGTGGGAGAGAACAAACCAGATTCCAGCAGAGGAAGAAATCAGGAAGAAGCGCTGGAAGTGGATTGGGCACACCTTGAGGAAATCACAAGACAAGCCCTCACATGGAATCCTGAAGGTCAACGGAGAAGAGGAAGACCAAAGAACACATTACGCCGAGAAATAGAGACAGACATGAGAAGAATGAACAAGAACTGGATAGAACTAGAAAAGGAAGCCCAGGACAGAGTGGGTTGGAGAAAGCTGGTCGGCGGCCTATGCTCCATTGGGAGTAACAGGCGTAAGAGAGAGAGAGAGATTAAGTGCAGTTTTAGACTACAAATTATAAAATTCTTATGTAGCATTTTATTACAAGGTGGATATTTGACCAAAAATGAAAATAATATTGGTATTTAGTATGACAACCAATAAGTCACAAACTGCACAATGAATGGAAACACAGAACCTATGCAGTTAATGTTTTAATAATAGATAAATGTAATCAGAAAAGCCTATCGAAACGTAGACTGTAGTAATCAAATCAGTCTTATATACACTATACCGTCTAGCATAACGCTTCCAGGTGATTGGTTGGTTTAGGATATTTTTAATGTGATGTATTTACAAAGTACAGATCCATGCATTCGTTTTTTGAGCTGTGTTGGATATGAGGATTAGTATTACTACCCAGCTGTTCAAATTTTGTATAAAACTTACGATAGTGTCTTTATATTCAAGTTCTTTGATTGCTAAGTGGTTTCTTCATATGCTTCTTGTTAGACAATGTCTTTCGTTTAATATTGATAAGTTGGTAAAGTAGTTTCATATCATTATGCGGCTTATGTTGTTTGTTAGATTCACTAGGATAACGTAATGGAGATCGGTTAAAATCAGAGGACTATCTTGACTTCCCGGAATGATTCTATATCAATGTATATAAATAACAAATGGTTGTATAATAAATAATTGGTTTTAGCTTAGAAACTTTCATTCAAGATCATGAACCTAACCACAATAACAGTTGATCCTCATGGTAGACTAGCACGAAAACAATTAGTTCAATATGGCTGGACACAGAAAATGTACTGGTTTAAGTGCTTTGTGAAGATTGTTAAGTTCCTATGTTTTACGTCAATATGAACCGTTCGATTCCAACTTAGTGTAGTAGCCTAGGAGTTAGGCGCATGCGACTGGAGATCCTGATTTCTATCCTCTGTGGGGTCGTTTTTGCTCACTACTGAGGAATCTCGTATTATGACGAAACAACTATTCACTACTTCTCGGTTTGCAATGGTTGTTTAACTAAGATGATTTATTGATGTAAACTGCGAATAAATGTGCTGACAAATAAGAAAACGATTAAGCAATGAAACATGAGTTAAGAACTGTACGACAAAGTGGTTGCTAATGAACAGTACAGTTATAGTACAAAAATTTCACTTGACCTAATATTTGATGTGTGAGACGTTCTCTCGAATGGAGTAAACAGAATATACAACTTAGGCCAATTAACGTTTGTTCATTTAACACACACATTTATCACCATAGATAAATATACACTTTTATGAAAGCTAACAAAATGTCTACTATTAATTATGAATGGCTGAACACTTAAATGGTTTCATTACTACATAAACAGGTAATAATATAAGCAAACTGATATATTGGGTACTTATATGTAAATATTAATATGTGCAGTCCTATGGTCTTCATATCGTGAAATACGTTGATTGGATGCCGGAGTGATAATTCCCAGAATATTTTTGATATGTTTAAAATCGGAAATCTCAATACACAATAAGATTGACGCCTAATCAGATTATGAGTAATTGAAGTGACATACTTTCGAGTAGACATACTTATTTAGATGTCGATAGCTGATTGCTTAAGTCAAGCCTACAGAATTTCTGAAGAAGAAGAATTCGAAAACAAAGAGTGAGTGAACAGTTGTTTTCAATAACATCATTATCAGGTACGAGTGATTAAAAGCTCTATTCTCGCTCAGTTGAAGGACACAGGACATTAAGTTGATTTAAATAAAGCTTTGAAAGTTATCTACTATATCCCATCAAATTAACCATATGGCTAACGAGTTTGTCTATTCCGTATTACCGAAGCTGTTTGAATCCATGTTTACTAGCCTAACCTTCGCATTCAAAGGAATTTTGTACAACCACTTTTACTATCATAGTCATTGGAATAGGAATGATTTTTTAACTGACCTTTGGTTAAACTGTTCCCTTCAAAAATAATCAAACGATTTTCTAATTTCTTCCACCTGTGTATTTTACATATTCTCAACATCCGTCTCTTTATTCTTAGATAACTCAAATGATACTGACCTTTCACCAAAATACTTTGCTCTCATTATATATTATGCAGTGTAACAACTGTTTGACTTTCCGAATAGTTATCTTGAATATTATAATCCACTGTCTTCCAGTTATTCAATATTATTTAGTAATCCATGTGAAGTAATTACTACTATCATTACTACCATATATATATAATTTCAGAATGGGGATTTTCGCTATTCTAAAGTTATTCTATTTACCAAAGTCAACATTTAAATATGGTTAGATTAACACAGTACACACTTGATTTGATTGTTAAACGCTATTTATTTCTGCTGTGATTTGATTATTACTCTGAAGAAGTCCAGATAAGTTTGCTGGACGAAACGTTGGGAATATTTATATTTCAATAACTGAGATTATTTCAAATAAAATTTTCAGATATGATGACTTCTCTATACTAGGAGCCCAATTTTTGTCAAACTAATCGTTCTACGATTGACGAACATTTGCACATAGTATTATGTTATTTTACAAGGGCTAAAATAAGGCATATTACTTCTATGTCTTCTATTTACACGATTTTTTCTAATTTCTGTTATATTGATTATAACGAATTATTTTGACTTTTAGTAAATGACCTATCTAAATTAACAAAAAGACACGATGTTATCGTATACTGTAATAGATGGAAGAGATCATCATTTTTAACATTTAACTTTGTTTAATTCACTAGCATGTCTTATTTTGATCTTTGTAACATAACACTGAATCAATAGAAAAAAGAAAGAAAAAAGGTTCAGCAAATTAAACAGTACATCAATGATGAATGATAATTCCGTATGAGTATTGCAATTATCATCACCAAGGATTGACTAGATAATTTTATAGTTGAGATCATGAGTTAATTGAAGCTAGACCACCGTGGAAAACCTGGAAGCACTGGACGGCCGTTTCGTCCTATTGTGGGACTCATCAACAGTGCGCATCCACGATCCCGCCTCACGAGATTCTAACCCAGGACCTACCAGTCTCGTGCCTGAGCGCTTAACCACTAGACCACTGAGTTGGCTTCCGATAGTGTTAATGTCTAACTTCAATTAAACCACGAAATTGAGCAACCGTTCACCAATTTCTTCAGTGAGTTGATATCTCACAACAGACCTGGTTGAACTCCACTGGTTACTGCTTCTCACTAGAACTCCAGGAAATACATCATGGAGCCAGTCACTAGTGAGCGTAGATCATTATTAGAAGAGGGTTTTGTGGAGATATTAGTATTTTTATATAGTTGAAATTATGAGTCAATTGAAGTTCAATTTCGTGGATTGGTTGAAATTAGACATTAACACAGTTGGATGCCGACCGGCTCAGTGGTCTAGTGGTTATGCGCGAGACTGATAGGTCCTGGGTTCGAATCTCGCGAGGTGGGATTGTGGATGTCAGGGGCAGCCAAACATGGTATCAGTCTGTGAAGTCTTACTGTCACTCTAATTGATATTGGTAGATATAGATTACATGGTTGAAGTTCGCGTGATAACGTCGGTCAGTGACTGAACGATACGGCTTAGAATCGATCACCACCCATAAGTAGTGGACAAAACACTGGTTATTACCAATAAATAATCACTTAGTACTAGTGTAGATGTACTCTATACTCCAATGACTTATCACGACTCACAAAAGTCACAAACACATGCGTTCATAGTCGAATGCGATTCTATGAGGTCAAGGACATTTATCTCGGCTAACAAGTAATTATTTAATATGACCTATACA